CTTATCAAAGCAAGCGCCCGCACCACGGGCACCGGCGCCAAAATACCCCAAATCATTGGCGCCTGTGGCGCGGGCGCCAGGAAGTTTTGGGCTGAGCGAATGTGATATTCGTATTCTGGAGGTCAAACTACCCCAGGAGACAACATTTGAGCAAAATCTGCCCACGGAGAAAAAAGTCGGTCAGGAACTGGCCTGATTTCGGATGACTGGGGCAGTAAAGGGTAAATAGTGCCAAAAAATGTATAAGAGATAGAAAATAATAAATAAACAGAAGTAATCGATCATAAATAAATCTTACCTGAACCATAAAATTGGTTGGGGGGTTCTAATTATCGATTAATCGAAGCTCTGGTCATTTGAGCAATCGAGCTTTTATGCACGTGCATTGGTTGAGGTTTAAACGAAACAGAAACGAATCAATTCACACACGAAGAACGACGGCAAGAAGAGAAAAGGAAAATCGATACTTCAAATAAAACTCAATAAAACATTGATCGATCGATTGATAAAACATGTCAGTAGGTACTGTCATGACATACCTGCTGTAATTCGTTGTCGGACTCGAGAGCGTCAAATACAGCGGCGCCTACTAGAAGATATGTGAGTGTACAAACGATCAGTGATAACGTACGTACGTTCTGACGTTTCATTCCACATCAGGATTACGATCCCGATGTGATGAGCGTGGGTGGGTGGGTGGATTCGACGATTGATGAGTGGATGTGGGTGAATCGGATCCAGATCAGGAGCAAATAATCACTGAGAATAGCTAGCTAGTACTAGAAGTGGGCAGCCAAAGCGAATCACTGGCTGTGACTTGTTGGCGTGTCAGTAGGAGTACCAATAACAGCAATAGAATTTCAATACTATTGACATAATGATGCGGGAATTCAGCTGAAATTAGGCGTATATCCGGGTGTATACATATGTGTGTATACACGTGTGTGTATCAGTAGAGATGAAATCCACTCACACACAAAGAATTAGTGTAAGGACCCGTTGCAGTCGGGCCGAGGCGATTGTGACGTATGTATGTGAGTGTGTGTGGTGTGTGGTGCGTGTGTGTGTGGATAAGTCCGGGTTTCGTCTGCCCGCCCTTTGGCAGCAACACAGCAGAGAGCTGCCCGCTCGACGCTGGTCTGCCCCGCAGCAGCGTTTTAGAATAGTGTGTAATGGGTGGAGACCGGCGGGGCCACTCTCTGGGAGGAACCGCCCCGAAATCTTTGAAAGAGCACGTTCTGATATCCTCCTCATCGTCTCGACGACATCAACATCTGTGCCGCATTAGGAATAACTGCCACTAAACTCAGGACATTTCAGACCAGCACATGATGAGAATCAACCTCCTTGGGATAAGCCACATCTCACACTATGTATTTTCGGATGATTGGAAGAGTCCTTCAGACGTAGTTCGGCTGGGGATGGGGGTGCATTTCGATTTTTTGCTACTTTCCATTTGAACGGCGCATTGTTCGGAGGTTCGGTGGAAGGGAGATATATCGTGTGAAGCGGGATTGAGAAGGAGCCGAGTAGCATAATGAAGTGAGTGAGAGGGCCGGAGTTACAAAGTATGTGAGCGTGTCGGACGAGGGGAAGGTGGTGCGTATGATGTATGTGGAGGTAAGAGGGATCTGCGTGTCGAGCGCGCGTTATGGTGGGAGAGGCGGAGATCAGCATGGGGAGCAGATGTGGTGGGGAGAGGGGATGGTGCGGAGCCCGTCGACCCACCCCCCAAGCCCCCCTTGGGCCAAACGTGGGGCGCCGGATCTTCACATGTCCACATAAGATCTGTTCAAATTGACAAGGAGTGCGGAATGAGTAAGTAGCAAGAGGAGAGGCCTAATCAACGGAAGAGATACGGCTCGCTGAACCGTGGGAGGTCAGGGGTCACTCTTAGATGCACGGGTGGTCCTAAGATGGATGGCGGTAGGCTGACGTACGCGGAGATAAGGGGGAATGGGGGGTGCTCCAAAATTGGGGCCGGATGATGAAAAGGAACAAGTTAGGGGATCGCACATGCATCTGCTCGATGATTTCGCGTAGAGGCAGGTTCGCGCTGTTGGTGGACGGGGAGGGGGCATTTTGTATTAGGTTGTCCGGAAAGTTCTCAGCGTTTTGTGCACCTATTTTTTGTACATTCACTGCTGATTAAAAACTCATTCTGCCTTGCTTCTCAGTAGCACATCCTGTAGAGAATTTCTTGCGCTATCTGATGGTATAATTGCCGTTTCACCATTGCTTGACTAACCCCCTTTTTTCAAGATTTTTTCAAGCATGTGAAAAGAGCACTTCGGACGATTTTTTTCTTCGACTATAAATTGGGGCAATCCGCAATCGAAACAGCTCAACAAATTAACCAGGTGTGGGGCCCAATAGTGCTAGAGAAAGCACTGTGCGGCAATGGCTCAACAAATTTCGTTCTGGAGATTTCAGCCTTGAAGATGAACCTCATAGCGGTCGACCTAAAGCAATATCTGACGAGGATTTTAGGGGGATTTTGGAGGCTGACCCATCCCAAACAGTTCGAGAGATAGCAGAAGAGCTAGGCCTTGGCAAATCCACTGTTGCAGATGGTCTGGAACGCATTGGGAAGGTGAAAAAACTCGACAATTGGGTGCCCCACAATCGGAGTGACCGGCAGGAATCGGCACGTCTCGAGGTTCCTTCTGCATTGCTTTTGCGCAGCAGAAACGACCTGTTTGACCGAATTGTCACCTGTGATGAAAAATGGGTCATGTATGATAACAGGAGACGTTCCGGACAGTGGTTGGATTTCGACGAACCACCGAGGTAATTTTCAAAGCCGAACCCTCACGAAAAAAGATTCTGGTCACGGCTTGGTGGTCATCGGCTGGTGTGATCCACTATAACTTTTTAACACCAGGCCAAACCATCACAGCAGAACCCTACTTGAAGAAATCGACGAATTGTACCGAAAATTTTGTCAGATGCAGCCAACACTTATCAAAAGAAAGGGTCCGATTCTTTGCCTGACAACGCCCGCCCCCGCACGTTTCACAAATCACTATCCATAAATTGAACGAAATTGGGGTTGAAGTTCTACCTCAACCGCCATATTCTCCAGACCTTTCACCAACCGACTATCACCTTTTCAAACATTTTCAGAACTTCCTTGCTGAAATATTCATCAATTAGGACCAGGCAAAAAAGACCCTCGTAGATTTCGTGGATTCTCGACCACCCAGTTTTTTCTTTGATGGGATTTCTCGACTGCTGTCACATTGGCAAAAGTGTGCTGATTCGAATGGTGCCTATTTCGATTAAATCCGATGAGTATTAAAAAAGTTACGATCGTTTAAAGTGAAACACCCAAAACGCTGAGAACTTTCCGGACAACCTAATATATCATTGCTTCCTTAGTTCGGCTTACAAAAGGGTTGTCTATGCCACTAATCCAAAACGTGTGCAACTCGAGAAACGGGTACCTAGATGGTCGACACAGAAAGCAAATGCCCCCCCCCACGGGCGAATAAACCGTGCGCCGGCAGGTTCGTAATGCCAATGCCGTTCCGATCACCAAGAAAAGTAGAATGCATGGCGCACCCCAAAAAGAGTGATTAGTGCCGGAAACTTCACCTTTTGATTTAGCCAGTTTCCTCTACCAATCAGGACAAGTTCCGTCAGCGCATGTCATTAGATGAACATAACATGGCGATGTCTATCTGAGGTACTAAAGCCTAATCCTCCCACAGAAACCCACGACCGAATGCATGGGAAACCGAGCATGGAATGTCTAGGCAGGACATTGATCGTGTAGCCTACAATCAATCACCCGTTTTTGAAAAACAAATTGCACACTCACTACGTGGTGCATGATCCGCTACCCATTTGCGAGGTGAAGTGGGCCGCAGCGCAGTACTGTGCCACTTTCTTCAACAAGTGCACGCCGGACGGAGCCGAAGAGATCACTCGGTGTCGTTAATGCCTCCACCTGCGCTATCTTTAATGGGCAGCACTTACGTCCATACCAAGATCTCGCATCGCAACACACTCAGCAGTAGAGAACAACCAAAAATGAGAGAGCGTAGACAGGTGCGCGTCGGGCCACGCCTTAGGCGTGTTGTCCGACCGCGCACAGACTTTATCCTTTAGTTACAAATGAAATCTCTCGACAGGCAAGTCATTGTGCTAATGCTTTGCGCAAGGTGATAATGTTGTAGCGGGCGGCGGCCGCGGCTCGGACCTCCCGACCCGAATCTCTTCGGGTATACGGAGCCCCGGCTGAGTGAGACGGGCAAGAGAATCGTAATCTGCCGATCTGGAGCCCGCGGCGTTTTCTTGACTCATGTTAACCTGTCGACTGGGGTACCACACGAACCTCTTCATTGTAGACATGATTATTTTCGGTTCTGAATTGCCTGTTATCGCCATCTACTACCTGGAACCATCGTCCTTCGCAGGCGCGACGTCGCACGCGACGCCCACCAGCGCGGCGAATTTACGATCTTTTGCACAAACATCCCCCCCGGCTGTGCTTCGGGAAGAATCCTGTGTTAAGTGTGACCTTGAGCAAGTCTTGGCCGTACTGGACTACCTCCGAAGTCTTCTTGACCCTACCAAATACCAGCGCACCGACGCATTTTGATAAAATTAAAAAGAAATTTAAAGCATTTATTAAGCACAAGAATTTGTTCAAGTGGCTATGAGCAATCTATAGGGCGACTATGATCGAATAGATAATACATTTAGCAAAGCTTGGCTACAATCGCGCTACTCTTCGGGTCAGCGCTTAACAGTTAACAAATCATCACTAATCCAGTAACAATACCATTGTATTAACAGTGAGCTGTAATGAGAAATTAACACCACTTGCACACCCGAGCTCCGCAATCTTAGTGCGTACTTCGAATACGTATTGATTTTGCGCGCGTGCGTGCGAGATGCGCTAAGAAACTGTTCGAAGTGTGAACGCGGCATGAAACAGCGATATTCTCTGCACCCGAAGGCTATAAATAGTCATTGTTGCGGTCAAGACTTGATCATGAACGGAAAAATCTTCGTCTGCTTCGACTGGAAGGGGAAGCCTGCGAGGAAAAATCCTGAAAATGACGAGGTTATGGTAGCAATACTGCAGGTTGAAAACTGCAAGAGAAGGTCCCAACAAGACCTACCATTTCCACGTCCGTCCAAACAACTGATGAATCAGGCGGAGAATGTCGTACAGTTCTTATAGATCGCGGCATTGGATTGTCCTGCAACTCCGCAGGAGCATCCTGATCCTCACTAGCATTGAGGTCGTCCAGATTACTCAACATGTCGCCGATTCCGTCGTGTTCAGTTGTCGCGAAGCGGTCGTGCTCGGTTGCCGCGATACGACGCAGCGAGTCGATGCGCGACTGTTGTCGGATCTTTTCCACTTCGTCGTCACTCGCAACAATGTCACCCTCTTGTCGACGATCTCTTTTTGCTATTAGATTTCCATCGATTCTGTAACAAATTATTGTTACCTGTATTGTTACATTGTAACAACAAGTAGCGCACTGGACGCTTATAACTTTTGAGAGGTGGGGGCATGTACAAGACTTTCTGTGGACTGGGGTTCCCGCAATCGTGCTGAGGCCGCCTCCTACGCTTACAGGGGAGGAAGGGGGCTACGGGTCGGTAATGGATAAAATAGACGATACTTCTGTTTGCTTTACGCTCCTACCAGTTTTCATGGGCGGTCTTTCTAATGTCTCCCAGGCTTCCTCTCCTATAGGTTTGAAGCTCTCTATTAAGACTATACGGTTTGGAGAGACTATATCCGCCTCTTTCTGCACACTCTGTCTGGTACCCCTTGAAAAGTATGGAGTATGATCCTTTCAGCAACAATGAATCCTTTTTAGTCCACACCCCCGGAGATGGAGAAGGTGCGTGGCTGCGTTCTTACATTAAACATGGCGTCGGATGCGTCTTTCGTGGGTATGTCCATCTGAGACAATTCTCATCCTGTCCTGCGCTGGACAAAGACATGCTTACAAAGATTGTTTCAAGAAAGCAAGATCCCACCAAACCTACAGAGCCGCCGCTGCATTAGAATGAAGGGCGCAGCACGCCCAACTCCATTCCTTCACATTTTTTAGTACTTTTGTTCGGAACCGTTGAAGCTTTCTGAATGGCCCTTGGCCTGATCAGCGACTCCTACAATCGTAGGTGTTCCTGCCCTTTCAGATGTGCTTGGTACCGACTAGCCGACCCTTAGAAGATGTCGAGCTTGGTTG